TGTTGGTGATGTGTAGTCATCGGCCCAAAGTGGCCCACTTATAGACAACTGAGAATTAGGAGACCAGATTAGGGTTTCGGCCGGCCCAAATGGTTTTAAGCCCAGTTTGCTATAACTTGTCCAGCAAGGGTTAAACCCTAATTAGTTGTCTATATATATGATCTCCTGTACTTGTAATCATTATCACTCAATAATACAAACCCTAGTTGCCCCTGTGGATGTAGGTCAGATTAGACCGAACCACGTTAAATCTCGTGTTCTCTATTGCTTTCTTGCTTTCTATTCGTGTGTGTGTGCTTTTGTTCTTAACAGTTTCTCACTTGGGGGAACACGAAGATGCTCCAGCCTCCCATGGTGCTAGACCCTGCCTACCTGGATGAACGAGGGCACTGGCAGGACATTGATGAGTTTCTGTACGACCCAAAATGGAGGATCCTGCTGTTCCTGCAAGCACCAGCAAGCCTGGAAGTCACCATCGAGTTTCTTTGCTCTCTCCGCTTCCTCAATAACGGAGAGGAAGTAAAGTCAACAGCTGAAGTCACCTCCACCACCAAGCTCACATTCACTCTGATGGGACCACTCTGAGCCTTACCGTGGCAGATTTAGGGTGGCTGATTGGTCTTTACACACTTGATGAAACGCGGAGCTTGGCCTTTGCTAATCTGCCCGACCAGTTGGATCCGGAGTTCGATGTTAAGAAATTCTGGCAGGCTCACGGGTATGGGCGATTTCACAGTGGAGCAAGCATAGCTAGGAATTGGGTCCGTCCGTCTTGGAGAATTTTACACCATGCATTGACTCATAGCTATTTTGGCCGCTCTCACAGCTCTGATGTGGTGTTTGATTCTGATATGCTATTTTTCTGGAGTCTGGAAGCGCGCGAACCAGTCAATCTAGCAACTTTTGTGGCTCGATTCCTATTTGCTCAGTCGACTAGCAACCACCAGTTTGTCTTATGTGGGCCAATGGTTACGCTTCTGGCCCGAGGATTATGTATGACAGTCCCCAATGTTCTCCCAGAGACTGCAAGCATATTCCGACCATCGACAAGGTATTTGGCCCAGATTGCTTATAATAAGGAAGACAAGGAGGCACGTCCGAGAAGGCAGCATGCAATCCCCATGACCCTTCGCGAGCTTTCGCAGGCTATGTTTGCATTCCAAGATTCTGTAGACTCTCGCTTAAGGAGCATGGAGACGCTCCTTCTCACACAGCAATGGCAGGTGGAGGAAATACTTGAATACACCCGGGAGCAAGGAACAAAGAAGGCTGAGCATAAGGAAGGTCCTAAACAAGGCAAACGTCAGGGATAGTGAGATCCCTAATTTCTTAAAACTGCATTCAGAACATCATTTTTGGATATTTATATGATCTTATTTTGGAATTTCACATTATGACTCTTAAACCCATTTTGAGAAATTTTATGCATTATTTCATATTTACATGTTATGGTCATTTATTATTTCAATCTTCATCTTTGAATTTTATAAGTATTGAGATAACTTAGTAATTGCATGTGAGCATTTCATTTCAACCATTAACTCCAATGCCAAAATACTTTTAGCCACGTGGGCGTGGTTCCGTTTAAGTGTGAGGAGGTAGGAGTTCCTGGTTGAAATGATCTCTTTAGGAATTGTTTTGTCTATATATTTGTAGGAAAAGATTTTTTATAGAATAGTCATCAATTTTAATTGTTTGATTAGTTAAGCTTTAGTTATCACCCGTAAAAATTGGAAATTTTTAAAATTTTTGTCAAACTTTTATTTTTACTCTACCCTTTTGGGAATGTTTTCTAAAATGATTTGGGATAAATTCACAATTTATTTAGAGTTTTTTCTGATCAATTAATTTTTAAGTGCTTTATTGAAAATCTTTTTGCTGATGCTCTTATGAGTATTAGTTGTTTCTTAAAGAGAGTTATTTTCAAGGTATAAGGGGTGATGTTACAAAGCATACTTTGGTGAGACCGAGATTCTTGTTTTAGCCAAAAAGCAGTTGGTTCTAGGTCAACTGATGAGGCGTGGTGAGTATGCCGAAAAGCACGTGGTTTTATATTGCGTGATGAGTCCTTTTGAGTGTTAGAGTCAAAAAGCATGCGGTTTTATGTCGTGTGATGAGACTTTCCAGAGTGAATATCCAAAAAGCTCGTGGTTCTATGTCGCGGGATGAGGTTATAAATTTTTTTTATCGTGTCAACATGACAAAGTTATGCCAAAGAAAATTAAACCCTTACACTTTGATAAATACTTTTGCAAGAACATGTTTTCCAATTTAGCCATTAAAAAAATTATTTGATCTTTAAAGTACTCTTACAAATGTAGTTATCCCAAAGAAAGTTTAGAAAATTTTGGTTGTTCAGGTTGGTGTCAAAATATTGGTTTGACAAAATTCTTTTACATTTCTAACAATATGGGTGAGAATCTAAAAGTTCATTTATTCTTAACAAAAAGGTTGGTGAGTATCTTATTCCTTTTTTCCTTCATAATATGTAGCTTAAACTTTGCCTCTGCAATTATTAATTTGCCTTTATACTTGTAATTATTCAATTTGTTGTTTGAGGGCAAGCAACGTTTAAGTGTGAGGAATTTGATAAGTCCGTTTCGTTCTTATCATTTACATCATATTCTAAACGTTATTGCACGTAAATAATATTTAATCATCTCATAAAATGTGATTTTAATGAATAAAACTCTCATTTTCGTTATAAGAGTCATAAAAAGGGATTCCACATAAAATAATCATAAATCATCCATTTTATGTTCATATACTTGAGAAAAAGGGAATAAATCATCAAGGGATCAAGATTCAGGCTTGAACGAGCTTCCGGGAGGTCAAAAACAGTGTTTGGGGCCAAAACGGAGCGAAATTGGGCCAAAATCACGAAACAGCCGCGAAGCCCAACGGACCAAGGCCTCAAGGCGTCCAACTTGGACGCTTGGCCAAGTTGGACGCTTGGGAGTTGGACGCTTCAGCTTAATTGCAGCCCAAGAATGACACGTGGCAAAACCTGGTTGGCCGGGACAACTTAGGCGTCCAGATCTGGACGCTTTGACTTGGACGCCTTGGATTCGTTCCTATAAATACAGCACGATTCTTCTCATTTTTATCAACCATTCTCAACCCAATTTCGGGTTCCCCTCTCTCAATTGCTTCAAATACTTTGTATATTAGTTTTAGTAGTTAGTTTGAAGTAGTTTCGGAGGTTTTGACTCCAAATCTGTTCTGTTCCGCTTTTACGGAGGTTGTAAGTTTTCTTTATTTAATAAAATGCTATTTTAATTTATGTTTGCATAGTATGAGTTAGGGTCTAGATCTCTGGGTCCGGACTAGTTCGGTTGTTTATTTTTGATGTGAAATTAATGTTGGAATGGTTAATCTATTGTTCTTGCCTTATTTAGTTAATTAATGTCGGAAGATTTAATTAGCTATTTATTGAGAAAATATTGTATGCCAAAAGGCTATGATATTCAAGTGCAACAGATTAAGTACAAATCTAGAAATGGATGAGTAGTAATAGAAATATTATTATTCCAACTGTTAATTTAATATGATAAAATAGATCCAAATGATGTCCAGACCCTAGGTCCAGATCTATACTTATACTATGTAAACTTAATTCATTATTTTTACTCTGCTCCTTCTATAATCGTTCCGAGAAGACTTTCATAAATCAATCCTAATCTTCGCCTAGTTAGAGTGATTAAACTAATTCCCTTCGTCCACTCCTCGAGAGATACGACACTCGGAGAGAAAACTAACCCTTTACTGGGGAGGTTTACTACCCGAAAAACTACAACTGTCAAGAATGCTCAACTGCAAAATGAGGAGGAGCTTGCATTTCTCTCTGTTTTTCTTCTTGTATAAAGAGACCATAAGCAACTGGAACTGAGGGAAGAGGTCGCATAATAAGTATGTTCCATTGTAGTCTGAGTTGAGGCCCATCAAAAACTGAATTAGTTTCTGATTCTGCTCATATTTTGTAAGCTCTTGAGCAGCTCCACATGTACATTTTGGTAGATTGGACACTAGAGCCAGTTCATCCCAGATTCTCTTCAACTTTGTGTAATACGAAGCAACGTCTGTATTCCCTTGAGTGATGGAGCAGATTTCCTTTTGTAACTGAAACAATCTCGCACCATTCGATTGTCCAAATCTATCTTCAAGCTCGTTCCACATTTCAGCAACATTTTCTGCATATAGAACACTGTCCCCGATCTCCTTGCTCAGCGTGTTGAGGATCCATGAGGTTATCATATCATTGCACCTCTGCCAACTGTTCGCACGATTGGATGAATCATCATGTCTCGTGATGGTCCCTTTCAAGAAGCATAACTTATTTTTCGCTGACAGAGCAATGGTCATGGATTTCTGCCATGAACCGAAGCCTTCACCTGAGAATTTGGTCGAGATCAGGATCAAACCTGGAATCTGAAGGATGAAGGTAATAAGGATCAGAAGGATCGATTGCAGAGGAGTTGTTGTTCGCGTTGGACCCCATGAATGAACCAGATCAAGAAATTCAAAAGAGAGATATGAATCAGAGACGAAATGCGAGCTGAGATTCAGGAAATCAGATGAAGATGATGAACAGATTGATTGAAGTGCTCTGATACCATGTTGGAGTTTGTGATTTCCTCCTCCATGATTACGCAGAGAAAGGAAATTGAAGAAAGAGAAAAATCACATTAACTTGTTCAAGAAGGAAGCATACAAGAGGGAGAAATATAAAGGGGAACGGGCCAGGCTAAAGCTGTTGTAACTAACGTAATAACCGTAACTAACAAATAGGAAATATCTAAAAATATCTAAGATATTCCAACAGTATAATTTGATCACCAAGAATAGGGAAAGGGAAAAATGAAATTCTTATGTTTGGATTTCCATTTAAAAAATGCACAAGAAAATGATTAATATACTCAGTCATGTTTGTGATGCAGAGCCCAAATGGTTGCACTCTTCATGTACTACAGGTGATGAAACCCTAAGAATCTTAAAAGTTTTAGGAACCCTTGAAGTGAAAATAAGGTTCCCAAGTCTAACCCATGGGTAATTGCTAAGGTAAAACGATTCCGTTGATGCCTCACCAGAGGTTGTATCATTATTCCTTCCTATTTTACATCTTGGACGCTCTGAAGAAAAGATCTGAAATAAACTCCTAAGTTTTATGATAAATTTTTCTCACCAGAGCTGCAATCATCTTGGTCCTTTTGCCATATGAAAAATTTTCCTCTGACCTTTGTTTGCTTCTGACTGCAGCTAATGCTTGCTGTATCCAAACCATTCCAAAGGTACACAGTAAGGAAATTATGACATGAGTCAACTGCTACAAAGAAAAATCAAGTGGAGCCATTGTGTAATACATGTTTGTTGTACACATAAGGTTAGAAATCTATTAAAGCCTTTCAGAATTTCTTTATTGGTGTATGACTGCCAACCAATTAAAGATTTTAAAATAGTAAAAGGAATTTTGATGTAAGCAAGACACTAACCATTTAACTCACAAACCATTACTCTTTCCACGGTTTGAATTGTCCAACGCCATACTTGCAATTGTCCTTTTCCAACACCCGCTGCATGACCAACTAAATAACCCAGTATGCCAAGAAATTATTCTTTTAGTAGTCTACTTCAAAAAATACATCATACTATACCAAAAGTTCAATGTCATATGAATTTTCTATAATATAAAACACTCACGATACTAGTTAAGGAAGAATATTATGACTTTTGATTTGAAATTGTAATCTAAATATAAAATACTCTGTATTATCAGTGAGAAGTTTCACAATAATTGATGAGTCTAAAATTTAACATTTAAAATTAAAAATTAAGAATTTAAAATTCACTTACATTAATTAATTTTTCCCATACTGGAAATCTGGAATTTAAAATTTTAAAGATTCAAAAAACTGCATATTTGAATTAAAAATAAATGCTTGCAATCATGGCAATATTACACCTATATTACCCACATTTACTCTACTTTAATGTGAGGTTTGAATTTCCCCATTTTAAAATGTTTCGAACATATTTAATGCTGCCTATTATTACATTTACACAACCTATCACCTGCCTATAAAAGCATACACACATGAATTCTTCATTCATATTCTACATAACACACTACAATAATACAATAAAACTTCTACGCAAAGACCATAATTTACATATGCAATGTTCTGTGTATTTACTTCTCTGAATTCTGTGTGTTTTTAGTTCTCTCAAATCTCAATTCAACATCACACCGCCTGCCCTTCCTATGAACTAAACTTCAAAATCCTAGTCTTGGTAACAAAGTGGTGATTGTCAGTTATAATCTTTTGCACTGGTGTTGATAGGAAGTTCGTTGCCTCCTCT